AGGTGTCATAGCCACAATATTTAGTTGCAAATAGTAGTGCAAGAGCCTTATGCTTAGTGATTGGATTCTGCAGTTTGGTGATTAAGTCTATGCTATGATTGTATTGCAAGAATCTCAGGTTGTGATTAGGCAAGAAATTTATGTTGACCTATGAGTAAGCACATCACTACATAATTCTTTTAATCAATTCTTGTTACAGCTATATGACTTCTTTGCTATATTTTTATGCGAAGATACAATGATTAGATTACAGGATAGTTTCTAAATTTGTAATTTGTATAAGGCAAATAATTAGTTTGGATAGAAATCCTTTAGAGTCTAAATAAAGAGCTTGTAATTGATAACGAACAAAATCTTCATATGTTCTTCCTTTTGTATAAACAAAGTCATCTAATCGAATTTCACTGATTAATAATAAATGATCTTCATACTTACCAACAAACTTTTATTTATCATAAAAAAATTTAAAATTGAAGTTTAGGTTGCCAGATCACAAAAGGTTAATTAGTAATATAAAAAAAAACAAACCTAAGTTTCTAAACAACAAAATTCATTCAATTATCTGGCTGTTTGAAACAATAAACTTTAGTAAGGTTTTTTTTTATTGTTATTTAAAAAAAATTTTTTTACTATAAAAAAAAAAGCTGTGCAGCTGTGTCACTAGTCACCATCTCATGATATGAAAACCAAGCATATAATTTTGTGTGGCCTTATTTGTAAACTAATAAAAAAAAAATAGTAATACTTATTAGCCAAAGTGTAGCTTCTTTGCTGCAATTTTAAAAAAGTAAATGATAATCAGTTTATATTTTTGGAACTACTTAACTATTGTCAACTATATTTATATAATAAATGTTATCAATACCATTTCCTTTTTTTTTTGCTTCTTGTCATCGTCGTCTTTATGATCTGGAATATCCAGAATCAATTTAATTTTTCATGATGAACTTACTTCGAAACGCTGCTTATATAATTTATTGTAAATTGTGAAGTTTTTGTCTAATAAAATCTAAAATAGAAAAAAGAATTAATAAATTAAAAATATAAAAATATTTAAGAGCATTTATAGTATTTACTCTTAGTTTTATAAAAGTGGCCATATTTTGACTCACTAGATTACAATCGCATATTTGAATCCGTGTTGGTAGTGTGCATTTTGCAATTTTCTGAAAAATGTATAACTCTTTACCTTCTAGATTAAGAGTATAAATTTTAAGCTCTAAACCTAAAAATTACTAAAATTAATATCTTTTTTTTTTTAACGACACTTCCTCTTTATTACTCATTTTGTAGAATATACACGAATATACATTATTTTTACAAGATTTTCAGTACATCATTGGTATCAAATTTCTAACTAGTACCTGTTATGCTGCTATTACTGAGTTCGTACCTCAAGCTATCTTTTAAGGTACTGCTGAATCCGATCTGTATCTCAAGCCACAACCTTCCTAATTAGTCATCCACTACTACAAATATTCCAGGTCCCTCCCTCTGCAGTATTTAGTTCCCGAATTTCTATAACCAACTTGAGTGAGACGTACCAAACCTTACGGCCCAGTATAGTCATATTAACTCACTATTGATCCTCACATCCCATGAGGTTTGCTTATCCTGGCTCTAGGTGCCTCTGGATCATTGGATGGCAGGATATTTCCATTTTGCTAGATATCACATGTCCCACACATATGTTTATCTAGACTTTGGTAACTTACGCCATGGCTTTACCCATGTACTTTGAGTCAGGGCTAACCATTGAACCCCTGTTATTACCTACTTCTGCTCTTATTAGGTTCCCAACAACTCTGGTACCTGCATTTGGACTGTCTTCTTACCCAGATTTCTTATCAGTCTCTTCCTTACTTCCAGCCGGCAACTTGGAAGAGTCAGTCTGCCCAAGCTTTAGGTACCTAAAGGACACCCTCTCCTTGGTACATACTTTCAGAGTGTATGTCTTTTTCCTCCAGTGCGACAGAACCCGGCGGTTTGGCTAGTGTGTCCTCCGCCATTAGGACCTGGTCATTCGGTTCTCTGATCTCGGGCCCTAGTTTGAATTTAACCCTCTTGTGATAATATCAAAGATCATTGTTACTCCTAACTCAGGACTTTCCAAATAGGTTTTCGGTTATGCCAGTTCCTCAGATTTATTGCGCTATTGCTCCCATTACTAGATGGTGTGACTGAAGTTACAGATTAGATCCAACCGATATATATAGCCGTCAACCGAACACAAGCCTATTTTTCAAATATCATCATCCATGGGATTCGAACTCTAGACTGCCACTTGGAGAGAGTAATGACTAAACCACTACACTAAGTTGCCACACCTCTAAAATTAATATCTTTAAAAGAATGTTATTTTAATAAATATCATAACTTAAAATTACTACCATGGTGATAACTTTAAAATTTTTAAAGTCTTCTACAGACTGTGTATCGTATATTGACAAGTGATTATGCGCACATGTCAACATATTATACAACAATGTGCATGATTTGTTTCTGTCATCTAACTCTTTTTTTATCATTAGCTGATTTAATCTTCTCGTGCTCAACTATTAAAAACTCAACATTATATTTTAAGAGTAGGGGGTATGTAGATTATTTTGTTATATGATTTTGGTGATACAATAAGATTTATATAGTCATTGATAATGTGCTACTAATAATACTTTTTATAGTTGTAATTAATTTTAGCTAAAATTTTATAAAATATAAATAAAATAATTTATCTATTATGGTAAAAATTTTAACTATTATATTATTTAAAAAAAATATACTTATATATATTACAAAGTTTTTCTGGGTTGGCTCAAAATTTTCTGGTTTATACAAAATCGCCAAATTTGATTAGCTAGTTTACATGTTAATTTTATTAATAAATTTTTATACCCAATCTTTAAAACTTTATATCTCACCAAGTTTTTGACCAATTTTAATTAAAATTAGTTTACTTAATATAATTTTTTATAAAATTAAATATAAAAAAAATTACTATTAAGTTTATATATAACTTTAAAATAGTACCCCCTACTCTTAAAAAAAAATAACACTCTAAAAAGAAGTAGAGAGACACATATTCTGAAGAGAAGCAGAGAAAACAAAGATATATATGTTTCAAAGAGAAAAGCAGAGAAAACAAATATACTGTGCTAAAAAAAAAGAGATGCAAACAATAAATGTATGAAAAATTTAAGTAAGAATATAAGTATAAAAGCCACTTATTATTGAACATATATAAACAAAGAGCAGAGTCTAAAATTATAGTGGTAAGTATAATTGTTACATAATCATGTGAACAAGCATATGTAAAAAAGTAAGGCATTAAATTGGTAGCATATTACATGCACAATGTAAAAGTAATTTGGTTTGCCCTTTTGTTTTGGTAAAATCCTCACTAATAACTCAAATTTAGATTGCACTAAGAGAATTAATTATTTATACGCATTACTGACTAGACAATTTAGGTTACACAATTGTAGATTATTTATATTAACTAAACTAATGCGAATTTTTTGTTGATGATCGATTTAATAAATATTTATTTATATTATTATTATAAACTGGTAATTATCACCACTGGTTATTTCTAGTAATACTCTTCTGGAAATATTAATTTTCCTTTTATATTTTTCATTCTAACAATCAATTTTACACAAATTTGCTATTTGATTCAATTAAATTCAAATATGTAAATATTTGATTCGATTTGACTTTAAGAAACTCTAGTGAGAATAATATGTGTCTGGCCACATGTTATACAAGACAGCTCCCATAGCTGAATTAGCATTTGTGTAGATAGTTTTGATAATAGTTAAATTAGTTGCATTATTTAATTGTAATAGAACTCTAAAAAAAAATATAATAAAATTTTTTATTTTTGCTATATAGCCTATATATAGTATAAAATCAAATTTTCAAATACCTTTTTTAAGATATGTATACTACACAAAGTATACAGTTATAACAGAAAAATTATAAATTAGCAATATTCATACAATTAATATAAACTACTAAAATAAAGCAAAAATTAAAATAATAAAGTATAATATAATACTTAGTATTCAATAGAAGCTTGTATTTTATCTTCTAACAATGCCTATACTATGATATATGAATTGTATTTTTATCTACAACTAAAAAAAACACAATAGCATTTCATAATAGTTTGTTTTACAGGTATTATCAGAAATTACAATATCATGATATTAGATCTATAATGAAACTTATAAAGGAGACATCTTGGATCTTTTGCTTTTAAAGCTATTAGTTGCTACAACATTTTTGCAGCATTTGTTTTTACTTTCTTAAATAATAGAATTCTAAACCTTTGAATAGTATTTTATAAAATTTTTTTTGTCTAAATATGTTCCTGGATATTTTACTTTTAAAAGATTAACTTTCTGCTAAATATATATAAAATTTTATATCATTTAATATTTCATTTGACAATTTATAAAAATATAGTGCTGTTAAACAACTATAGAATTTAACTCATGATTATTCTCATTTTCTAATAAAGTACTTATTATTTTAACAGTACTTTTGTAATTATTAAAATTCATATGCCAAGGACAATTAATTTGTTTGGTAATATCAACTAGTTTTTTTGTCTTATGTATATATGAATAAAAGTATTCATAGCTTTGACAGTAAATATTTAAATAATTAGAATAAAAATTATTTCTGCCACACTGAAAAGAAAAACCTTTACACTTTTAAATAATTCTATAAACTTTTCTATATCATCCCATATATCAAGTATAAATCTAACATATAGTGACAGAGAACTTTTTTATAATTTGTCATCACTTAGAGAGTCTTGTGAACTGTTTAAAAGCAATTAATATTACATAAATATACAGATATATAAACATATTTAGAGCTTGGACATATTTTATATTAATTTTAGCAAATTTATAATAAATTTACTATTAAATTTAGATATCTAGTAGATAATGGATCCAATCTCTAGACAATTTACAGTAAGTAAATACTTCTCACTTAATTTCATCCTCAAAACTAGAATTTTGATCATCAAAATCTTGAAACTGATTTTATTTTTTAAACTTATGTTTATTTCATGTAGTATACTGATTGTATATTTTTTTCATGCTAAAGTTTTAAATAGTTAAATTTAAAAAAGACTAACATTCCATAACTAAATTTTTAACAAGCACAATATTATTACCTTTGAAAACTTTGATTTTGCATAACATTATAATCAAGTTCGATGGCTGAATTACTTGTCAATTAATCTTGATCGGAATTAAAAACTAATTTATTCTCCAGAAAATTATAATTGTTAATAATATTTTAAAGTTATAAATGACTTAACATGTAGCTACCTATCAAATATAAATACTAACCTTTCAAAATTTTGCATTATAGAGTTAAAGAACATTATTATGAAACTAATTAACAAACTAATAAGTATAATTTTTTATTATAATCATGTTCCTTTGGCTGTTTTATCAACTACCTAACCTTTTTTTTGCTGCACAAGCAAAAAAAATATTTTTTTCACACAGTAAAGGATGATTTCTTGAGTTTCATTATTGACTAATTTTTCCTTTTACTATGGGCATATATGTGAATCCTTTGCACAAGCGAAAAAATACAAATCACTGTTCAATCACCTATTTGTTTTTTCAACAATTACCTCATTTGACTATTATTATGATTTGAGCAAACAATGGACTTTCACATATGACAAGATTATTTCGAAAATAACAATTGCTCTATTCATAAATCAGGCAAATAATGTAAACAAACATGGTTTATATTAGGCCATGCAAAATTAATTAATTGGTTTTCATAACCCGGCCGGGTCAAAATTTGAAAATTTCAAAAAAAAAAAAATTTATATATTTTAATAGCCAGGTGGGTTTTAAAAAAAAAACTATATAAATTTTATAAAATTTTATATATGAAATTTAAAAAAAAAGCCGACCGGCCGGGTCTATTTAAAAGCTTCATGTTATGAAAACCAAGTAATTAAATTTGTATGGCCTTAGTATAATATTTAATCTAGCAATATTCAAAAAATGACGAAAATTTGAATTAAAAATGCTTTATTAAGTTTTCAACTAAAGAAGTAATAAAAATTATAGTATAAACTTTACTTTCAAATTTATGAAATAAATAATTTTCATGAAAAATAAAAATCTTTTTTCTTCCTTCAATAAAAAAACTAGGAATCGTAAAGATACAATTTCTAGATTACTCGTAATATACTTACTAAAAAAAAAAATTTAACACTTTACATAACTCAAAATTTAATAATTTAGTTACACATACAGTACCTTTAAAATCATTTATTTTGGTATGGCTGAAAAGCTTCATTTAAATAAGCAAATCGGAAATCTTAAGGGCATATAACGGTTAGGGTAAATTTGTAAAATTTTTTTAAAAAAAAATTCTAAAATTATATTATTTTACCCATAATAGGTGATCGTATCAAAGATGAAACATAAGAATATAAAGTTTGCATTACCATACGAGCTTTCAAAAAAGCTTTTCTAATTCATATTGTTTCTGAAGGGTTTCAGGTAAATGATATAAAAAGAATTCGAAGATTTAAAATAAGCAATTTATACTGCAAAGATTAATATAAAAATAAGCAATTTACAATAATTTGGAAATTCTTTAAGTGAAATAACCTTTTTTTTCTGCTCAAAATTTACTATGTACAGGACGATATAGACAGTGATGGACTAACGATGCTAAAAATAGGGCACATTCAATAATTCATAAAGAAACAAATTCTTTACAGATGTCGAATAATTAATAATTAATTTGACATGTTTCTTTACAAACCTATATTTTTTGCTTGAATCTTCATTAATGGATTGGTATTTTTTAAACGGTTAGAACTTTTAAATCACTTTTGTAAGGCCAAATTATTCAAAAAAAATTTTTCAGGATCGAATTGCGCAGTTTTCGAAATGGTTGAAAGTGAATAAAAAAAATTTTTTTCGAGCATACCTGTATACTGCGTATACTTGTTACCTTAGCACATCGATTTTCAATAGATGCTTGCTAAGATAATCTGGTACGTACGTATATGAGTATACGCAGTATACGGGTATACTACTAAAAAAATTTTTTTACTCATTTCTACCATTTCAAAAAACCGCGATACTATAACTTTTTTAAGAATTTAACACGATCTTGTGGCATAAAAATTTAAAAAAAAGATGCTGAAAGAAAAAAACTCGAAAAATTGTAAATTACTCGAGATTTCACTATTTTTGATTTAGTGATCGACACCTTGGCGAACTTTATATAACATAGTCATATTGTAATCATAAGGTCATAACCTATATTTAGACAATAAGTCATAACAGGTCATAGACCAACACCGATCGACATAATCTACAGGAAGAAACTAGATTAGTTCAAGAACTTATTCAAATAACTAACGAAAAAAAAAATTTTCAAGTTACCAACTTCGTCTTTAATTGGAAAAAATTTAATAGAAAAGTAAAACTGTCGAATAAAGAATTAACCAAAACCGAAAAAAAGATCCGTGAATAGTTAAAAAAATTTTTTCCTTTGTAATGATGAATTATACAACCGTACTGATAGTGTACGTACGTAGAGAATAAACTATATCAGATATATATTATATATACTGTATATAATATAATATATACATAAAAATAATAATACAAATAAAAAATAGATACCGTAATGAATAAGAACTCTCCCGTCAAAACCCATAAATAGTGTATACCACTATTGTAAACCAGGACTCTGGTAAGTTATATTCTTTTATGAATAGGCAATAATTCGTATGTACGTACGTACGTGCGTACATATTTACGTACTTTTTTTTTTACAGTAATATTTTACATAATCCACAGCTGAACAAGCCACAGTGCCGAGTGATTGATTGTCAAAAATCACCCAACTTTTTAAAACGCGTTATCGTTATCATACTGCTCAAAAAAATTGTTTGTAGATTTTCCATTGCTGTTGATCAATCTTTTCATGAGGTTACATATAATCCTTTGATATGCGAACTAAATATATCGATATGTTTTTTATGAAATTAAAGTTTTTCAAGCATTTCACCCAATAAATCAGAGGTATATGGTCAGAAATCGAATAAACTAATCACGTGAGTTATCATTTCATAAATAAAATACGAATGTACAATCCATCTTTTATTATAGCGTTATTCTTGACTAAATTTAATAATACTTCAATTAATCGCATTGATTTGAAAAATCTTAGATCACATTGAAGAAGTTGATTAAGAACCCCTTACAAGTGCCTGGCATTAAGATAATTATTTGGGCAGAAAATAAATTCTATAATATTCAAATAGAAATAATGATCGAATTTTTAAATTACGAGTAAGATTGAGGCAAATTTTTTTTGATAAATTCGAAGATTCTGATGGATGATTTGATAATATATATAGATTACATATGTATAATAGAATATTAGATACTGCAATAAAATCGTATAATTAGTCGAATTATTTCGCATAATTTTAATAATTTTTAATAATTTTTAATAATTTTAACGACTCATGAATTTGATGGTTCACATGAGTGACGTCACAAAACAAAGTTTAATGAAAATAAAGTTATTTTATTTTATCGAAAAAAATTTAAAAATCCACAAATAATACTTCTACAGTTATTATTACCATTATTATTGTTATTGTTATTATTATTATTACTACCATTATAATCATTATTATTGTTTCTTCTTATTTCCTGTAACTGTTCTTCCAAATCCTCTATTCGTGCCCTTAATCTATTTCGTTCCTTTAGCAACCTCTCATATTGAACTTCTCTTCTCCAATTATTTTGCACTCCTTCAACAATTTTCTCCTGACGCATTTCTACCTCTTCCTCCAAAGTTTTGATACGTTTTCTTAGTTGCTGCAGCAGTTGTGCCAACCTGAACCAAAAAGGAAATTAATAATTTAACTTAAGCAAAGTTATACGTAGTTGATATTTACCGTCTATTTTCATCACCAACTACATCTAAAGCTTCATAAAGAGGAAACGAAGAAGAATTTCTTAAGCGACGACGATGACGACGGTTAGCACGACACTGAGCAGTGTTATTGTATCGACGAGGCATTTATACAAAAGTTTTTTTTGAAACAAATACGTTAAACAAATTTTTTTAATTTATTTACGTATCACCTGCCGTGATCATCACTGCAATTTGGTTAGCCATCGCCTACTATGGAATAAGATCAGGTGTAACCTAACTTTATTTTTTTTGTTTTTTTTTTCGTATGAAAGTATATTTGAGATTATTTTATTTATATTTTTAATTTGACGCCAAAAATACTTTAGAATACCAAAAATGGTTTGTATGTTTGAAATTTTTTTGGTAATATAAATAACCGTCGATGTTACACTTCACCCGGTGTGCAACATATAAAAAAATGATTTTACAATACCAGATCATTCCGCTAGTTAAGGTTGGGGCACGGAAAATCATCACATGGGGCACGGCATAACACCCTAAATCATCACGTGACACTGATTAGTAAACCATCACATGTAATTAGTAATTTACATGTGATGAATAACATCACGTCCCAGTGACCGTGTGACAATTTGAAATCACACCCCGTGCCCAACTCTACCGCTAGTACATTTTTATTATAATAATAATGATCTGGTATTGTACAATCATTTTTTTATATGTTGCACACCGGGTGAAGCGGAACATCGACGGTTCCTTCTGTTCTGATTAGTTACTCGATTATTTTTATTTAAATAATTGATTATCTACGTAGCTAATTGAATAAATCAAATTTTAATTTATTAGTCAACTTAAGCTTAAGAATTATTTGTAAATTTTATTTTGCTTAATTTTCTAATATAATAAATGTTAAATAAAAAAAAGATTATGTGCAATTTAGTTACGGAGGAGTTTTTAGAATCTACATTTCAAGTTTTCTATAATGTACAGTTTTTTGTACGTCTCGTATAACATTACCAATCAATAATTTAAACGTTAAGTATATCTCCTCACAATGGTAAGAAGCCAATTACGGGATTTGGTGCTAATTTTTTTTTTCATACGGTCTATTAATTAAATAATTTAGTATAAGTTGCTTATTGAAAATTATAGAGTTCTCAGGAATCATTTCCCCGACAGCTGAGAAAGAAATTCATACTAATTACAGTATTATCATGAACTAATAACTTCTAGAAAAAAAATAATTATTAAATCTGGTAATTGGCTTCTGGTGGTCACGACCAACTTATGGCCTCTTATTGCAGTATTGTCAAGTCGTATGAATCAATATAAAGACAAATATAAGTAATCAAATAATAACAATCTATAAAAACTTTGTTAAAGGTTACTTTAGGAATTTCATCGTACAGTTAATCAAACCTTTTCTGATCACACCCTATATTTAAAATACTAGTTTAGTATCAATTGAGAAAAAATTTAGGACTAGTAGTAGTTCACATAAATTATTGGTTTAAAGAGTTATTATTATTAATTATTATTATTATTATTATTATTATTATTATTATTATTATTATTATTATTATTATTATTATTATTATTATTA